AATTAGTATAGGTAATTACTTAGGCCCCTATATAAAACTCAGGTCATGGTTTCTGCAGAGGGGCTGATGGACTTCGCAATGCCCTTGGACCTTTGGCGCTCCTCCGAAGGATCCTTTCGAATCTTCCGCAAGGACCCCACAAGAGTGGCGGGTATCATAAGGGTTTCAATAATTACTTATACTATTTTTTTTGGAGGGGGGGGGTCTTATTATAATTATAAAATATTATACCCCAAAACCCTATTCCAATTATCATGGCCGCTATATTATTATGAGGTTCAGGGTTTAGGGATGTCAAGGGCTCAGGGTTCAAGGCTTCGGGTTAAGGGACTTGGGGTTTAGGGTTTAGGGTGGGTCAGGTGTCAAGGTTTTGGGTTTTGAGTTCAGGGTGTCCGGCATAGGGCTCCGGAATTTTAGGGTCTTAACGGCTCAGGAGTTAACCCGAAACCCTAAACCCTAAACCGGATCCTTCGCAAGGACCTCATCGTATGGCTGGTGGGCTTTGTCTGCACCATCCTCGCCGGGGCCTTGTATGGGATCATCCTGTCTGTTTCTGGGCGAGAAGTAAGGGTTTAGGGTTTAGGGCTTATAGGGCTTATAGGGCTTATAGGGTTTATCGGGTTAGGGCTTTTAGGGTTTAGGGTTAAGTTTAGGGTTTGGTAAGGACACCATTTTAAGTAATATAGGGGCCTTTTTTAATTACCCACATTATTCCTTGGGGTTCCTTATTGTAATTATAGTATATTGGGCCTCAGAACCATATTCTAATTATTAAGGCTCCTAGATTTCTAAAGATGCCAAGATGCTGGCTTGGCCTATCTTAACAGAAAAGAAGGAAACCAAATTAGCTTCCATAGATCCCGCAATAATTAGAAGGTTCCTGAACAAGAACCCAGGTTTTGGTGGCCGTTGCACAAGTGGTGGCAGATGCTAGCACTCCCCACGCTGTTACCTTGGGGGCCGTGCCGCATTTGGAAGGCCAGTGGCACGACGTGAAAAGGTGGTCTGAAGCCAGGACTGTGCCGGGTGTTTTGGTCTTTGAGTTTCGTGGCCCCCTGGTTTTTGCCAGCGCTGAGTGGTTTCGTGACGAAGTGGAGCGCATGCGGCTTGCGGAGGGCCGTGCAGGTTCGATTCGCTACGTGATCCTAGGGATGGGACCTGTGCCGGTGATCGATTACTCAGCCATCGCCATGTTGCAGTCCATCCTGACACTCAGATAGCCAATGGGAGATCTTTAAACTTTTTGGCTTTATATATTAGGTCTATCCTAAAAAGTTCGAACTTTTTTGGGCCTTATTGTTGAAGAAGAGAGGACAGAGTGGAAGAAGAAGGGCATTCATTGCATCATCGCGGAAGCCAACTACAGCGTCCTGGAGCTGATGCACGAGAAGCTCGGGGATCAGCTGGAGCAGTTTGAGCAGGGCTCGAATCTGGGTGAAATTACGGTAAGTATCATACCGTGCTCGAAGAGCAGGTCTCAAACCCGAATATATGGGCCTTACTAATAGAATAGGGCTTTGGGGTGTATTATACTATAATTGTTTTAGGGACCCCCAACATCCTATTCTAATTGTTAAGGCCCCTACATTACACAGAGACGAGCCGAGCCGTAAACCCTAAACGCACATCTTCGAGCTCAGACCGAAGCCCTAAAACCCTAACCTTCAAACTCCACGTCTTTTCGGGATTGGGGTTCGTGCCACTCGCAACACCGTAGATTTTCCGTGCTCCCCCCCTCTACGGCCGGGTTTAGGGTTTAGGGTTTAGGGTTTAGGGTTCAAATTAGGGCTTAAGGTTAAACCTAAGCCCTAAATCCTCAATCCGAGGCAGGGGGTGCTGAGCATCGAGCGGGCCGTGTCTCTGGCCACGGGCCACGCGACGCGCTCCCTCCTAGCGTCGAAGCCGGTCGGAACTTGTGAGTTTTGACAGCCACCGGTTCGGAAAAGAGCTGTATGTACGTGAAGAAGCAAATAAACACACAAACGAATGAAGAAGCAGGAAACATGTAAATATTACATATACATAAACATGTACATGTGTATTGAGATATCCATCTGTATAATGTGAACAGATGGGAAAATAGACTGGTGCTTCCCAGCGAAGGTGTTGTAGGGCTTGGGAGGTTTATAGAGGTCCGGGTTAAGGGCTTAGGGCCTAGGGTTTGGCGTTTCAGATTTTAGAGTACAGGGCGTCTGATCTGCAATATAGAAGCCGGAACAATACCACTGTTACTGCCCCCACATCCTTCTCTCGTCGGGGCTTGGCACGATGTTTGCTTTGCTGCTCCGATGTTGTGTCAGTAGACGGACACCAGCGTCTTCCAAAAGCCTTTGTAAACCTGAGTCAAACACATAACACAGGGGCCTAAGTAATTGCTAATACTATTTGGAGGGTTCCTTCCTGTAAGTATACGATAATGGGCCCCCACAAACCCTATTCTAATTATTAAGGCCCCTACATGACAGTGTTCAGTTTGTACATGGTGTGACCCAGAACCCAGCCTTGCGTATGATAGGGTTTAGGGGGTACGGTTTAGGGTCTATAGGGTTTAGGGTTTAGGGTCTATAGGGTTTAGGGTCATCATCAAGACACGCCAAGCAGGAATCTAAACTGCTTTTGTGCAGGTGTTACCTGCGGAGGAGTCGACGAAAGCCATCAGCGATTGCGAGGGTGCGTCGGCCGACTCCTCAGGGAGACCTTACTGAGAGGTTTAGGGTTTAGGGTTTAGGGGTTAGGGGTTTAGGGGTTTCGGGTTTAGGGTTTAGGGTTTGGGGGTCTAAGAGGAGGGTTTCCCAGGGTGTTGTAGAGTTTCGAACCTACCATAATCCATGTCGTGGTAGGGTCCCTATGAATTCCTGAGCATATTGGGGCCCTACAAAAAGTAGTTTATTGAGGATGCAGGTCCTTCAGCCTTTATTGGAGTTACCTGAGGCAACACTCACATGTCCGTGCAGCCCCAGATCCTGTACCACGGTTTTGAGATTCTCAAAGCTGTTGGATCTTGGATCTTTCTGTTCAATAGGCATGCTGGGGCCTGTTGATTCTCAAGTGGCAAGGCTTCATATTATAGGGCTGTAGGGCATTAGGGGTGTTCAGGGCTTCAGCTTTTGGGGGCTTTAGGTTTTTGGGGGTCTCGGTGTTTAGAAGTTTAGGGGGTAAGTGATTCGGTCTTTTGGGTTTGGAAGTTTACGATTTGTTGTTTGTTTTTTGTGTTTCCGGTGTCAGGGTCTTCCGGTTTTACTGTAAGGTTTGAAGAGTAGTTACGCATGGAGTCACCCGCCTGAAATCCCACCAAAGCTTGTAGGACCCTCACATAAACCACATATATATATATATATATATACATGATCCCGGTTCGGCCGGCCCCCC